CCCCCCCCCCCAAAAAAAACCCCCCGGGATTTTGGGGGACCCCTCTGTGGGCTCCGGGGGGAATCTCCCGCGCCCCCAAATCCCAAAAATTCCAGGGGGAACCTCCCGGATATGAACAAGATGCTGGACAGGGAGGATTTCACCATGATGAAAAGAGCCATCTTCGCCACCCAGGTGCCTTTTTTGGGGGGTGGGACCCCCTTTTTGGGGGGTCTGACACACCTGGGACCCCTTTTTGGGGGGTGGGATCTCTTTTTGGGGGGTGGGATCCCCTTTTTGGGGGGCTGGGATCTCTTTTTGGGGGTTGGGATCACTTTTTTTGGGGTGGGACCCCCTTTTTGGGGAGACAAACCCTCTCTGCTCTCCCCTTTTTTCGGGGGGGTTACAAAGAAGACTCAGCCCTTCCCGGGTACCCCTTTTTGGGGTGTTGAGAGGGTTTTTGGGGTGTTGAGGGGATTTTTGGGGTGTTGAGGGGGTTTTTGGGGGTGTTGAGGGGGTTTTTGGGGGTGTTGAGGGGGTTTTTGGGGGTGTTGAGGGGGTTTTTGGGGGTGTTGAGGGGGTTTTTGGGGGTGTTGAGGGGGTTTTTGGGGGTGTTGAGGGGGTTTTTGGGGGTGTTGAGGGGGTTTTTGGGGGTGTTGAGGGGGTTTTTGGGGGTGTTGAGGGGGTTTTTGGGGGTGTTGAGGGGGTTTTTGGGGGTGTTGAGGGGGTTTTTGGGGGTGTTGAGGGGGTTTTTGGGGGTGTTGAGGGGGTTTTTGGGGGTGTTGAGGGGGTTTTTGGGGGTGTTGAGGGGGTTTTTGGGGGTGTTGAGGGGGTTTTTGGGGGTGTTGAGGGGGTTTTTGGGGGTGTTGAGGGGGTTTTTGGGGGTGTTGAGGGGGTTTTTGGGGGTGTTGAGGGGGTTTTTGGGGGTGTTGAGGGGGTTTTTGGGGGTGTTGAGGGGGTTTTTGGGGGTGTTGAGGGGGTTTTTGGGGGTGTTGAGGGGGTTTTTGGGGGTGTTGAGGGGGTTTTTGGGGGTGTTGAGGGGGTTTTTGGGGGTGTTGAGGGGGTTTTTGGGGGTGTTGAGGGGGTTTTTGGGGGTGTTGAGGGGGTTTTTGGGGGTGTTGAGGGGGTTTTTGGGGGTGTTGAGGGGGTTTTTGGGGGTGTTGAGGGGGTTTTTGGGGGTGTTGAGGGGGTTTTTGGGGGTGTTGAGGGGGTTTTTGGGGGTGTTGAGGGGGTTTTTGGGGGTGTTGAGGGGGTTTTTGGGGGTGTTGAGGGGGTTTTTGGGGGTGTTGAGGGGGTTTTTGGGGGTGTTGAGGGGGTTTTTGGGGGTGTTGAGGGGGTTTTTGGGGGTGTTGAGGGGGTTTTTGGGGGTGTTGAGGGGGTTTTTGGGGGTGTTGAGGGGGTTTTTGGGGGTGTTGAGGGGGTTTTTGGGGGTGTTGAGGGGGTTTTTGGGGGTGTTGAGGGGGTTTTTGGGGGTGTTGAGGGGGTTTTTGGGGGTGTTGAGGGGGTTTTTGGGGGTGTTGAGGCCCCGAACTCGGTGTCCCCCAGCGTCAGTCGTTCCCCCCGGTGTGCACACACAACATGCTGGACGACGCCACCGACCCCATCCTGACCACGATCCGCAGGATCGGCCTCTTCAACAGCAGCAACGACAGGGTCAAGGTGGGGGGGGTTTTGGGGGGGTTTGGGGGGTCTGAGGGGGTTTTGGGGGGATTTGGGAGGATTTGGGGGGCATTTGGGGGGATTTGAGGGAGTTTGGGGAGGATTTGGGGGGGATTTCAGAGGGTTTTGGGGTGTCCGGAGCTCTTCAACAGCAGCAACGACAGGGTCAAGGTGGGGAGATTTTGGGGGGGATTTGGGAGGATTTGGGGGGTCTGAAAGGTTTTGGGGGGGTCTGAAAAGGTTTGGGGGGGATTTGGGGGGATTTGAAGAGGTTTTGGTGGTGCTCAGGGGTTTTGGGGTTTTGAGAGGGTTTTGGGGGGGTTTGGGGGTATTTGGGGTTCCAAAGGGGGAGTTTGGGTCTCCAGGAAAGGGATTTTGAGGTCCAGGGATTATTTTGGGGTGCAGGAGAGGGGAAATTTTGGATTCTGAGGGGGAATTTGGAGGATTTTGGGGTGCAGGAGGGGATTTTGGGGCTCCAGTGGAGGATTTCCAAGAGGAATTTCCTCCTCCTCCTCCTTTTGGAGGAAAATTTTGAATTCCAAGGGAAATTTGAGAAGCAAATTCAGCTTCGGGTGGGAATTTGACAACCCAGTAAAACATTCCTGTGTTCTGCGAGGGGCGGCGTGGCAATTTTGGGGTCCAAAAAGAAGATTTTGGGGTTCACACCCCCCTTTTTTTCCCCCCATTGAAGATCATTTTCCACCCCGAGTTCCTGTCCTCCACCAGCCCCCTCCTGCCCGTGGACTACGAGGAGTTCGTCCGGGGTTGCCACCTGGGGGTCTTCCCCTCCTACTATGAGCCCTGGGGGTACACCCCGGGTAAGAACCGCCCTCGGGGGGGGGGGGGGGGGTTTGGGACCCCCAAAAAACCCCTCCTGGCGACCCCCCCCCAAAAAAAAACCCCCCCCCCCAAAAAAAACCCCCCCCCCCCCCCCGTGTGTGTCCCCCCAGCCGAGTGCACGGTGATGGGGATCCCCAGCGTCTCCACCAACCTGTCGGGCTTCGGCTGCTTCATGGAGGAGCACATCGCCGACCCCTCGGCCTACGGTCAGCACGGGGGGCTGGGGGCATCCTGGGGGCTGGGGAGGGGTCCCCGAGACCTGGGGGGGGGTCCTGATATCTGGGGGGGTCACTGATGTCTGGGGAGGGGTCACTGAGAGCTGGGGAGGGGTCACTG